CTTACCCCACAGCATCAGGCTCCCTCCCCACAGGAGAGGGGTACCGTTGGGTCGCTCCCACGTCTGAGCAACCCTGAGGTTCAGAGCAAGCCCTTGGTCAGCTTCTCCAGAGAATAGGCCACCCAGGGAGCCCTGTCCAGTCCAGCCACACTGACCCGCAGTCCACGCACCGCCCTCACTCGCCCAACTTCCCTCCTCCCCTCCTCACACAGACGAGAAAAGCCCTTTTCTTTGTGGCTGGAGAGGCTGACACATCGCTGAGATCCGAGCCTCAGCCCTGTTGCAACGATCTTTGTGAATAAAGTTTCTCTTTAAGTATAGATTAGTTTTTTATTAGACATACTTTTATTTTTTCGGCCGCACCATGGGGCATGTGGGATATTACTTCCCCTACCAGGGATCGAACCCGTGCCACCTGCAGTGAAAGCATGGAGCCCTAACCACCGGACCGCCAGAGAATTCCCATAAACATACTTTTAAAATGATGAATCCTGCAGCTTCCTGAGAGTTTGGTTCTAGGGCCATGTTGCCAGGGTGATATGGCACTGGGATATCCTTTCCCAGTGGATACCCAGTTGGGTTGATGTGCATCCAATTTTTGTGGCTTTATGGTAGAGCCATAGCGGCTGAGCCACTTGCAGAATTCAATGGCAATTGTGGGCCCGGGAACTTGATTGCAAATACCTTTCAAATCAAGGTGCACAGCTAGCAAAGGTGATGGCAGCCTCTCTGAAACGGCCATCATTGGACTTAACTGGCACAGTTGAAGCCTCAGTTATGGGTGGCTGAATCTAGAAGCTCCCAACAGTCCAAGGTGCTGCCCAGAAGGATGATGAGATGGTTCTGTTGCAAATAGGTTTTAAATCATATGACCAGATTTGGGTTTATGTGGTTCATAAGGTATCAGGTTGTTTGCCAATTAAAATACATGTGGCTGGGGCTTCCCTGGTGGCGCAGTGGTTGAGAGTCCGCCTGCCAATGCAGGGGACATGGGTTCGTATCCCAGTCTGGGAAGATCCCACATGCCGCGGAGTGGCTGGGCCCGTGAGCAGGGCCGCTGAGCCTGCGCATCTGGAGCCTGTGCTCCACAACAAGAGAGGCCGCGATAGTGAGAGGCCCGTGCACCGCGATGAAGAGTGGCCCCCGCTTGCCACAACTAGAGAAAGCCCTCACACAGAAACGAAGACCCAACACAGCAAAAATAAATAAATAAATTAATAAACTCCTACCCCCAACACCTTAAAAAAAATTTTTAAAAAATTAAAAAATAAATAAAAATAAAATACATGTTGTTGAGGCTGGAACTCCAGCACTAGTCTGCATGGACTTTAGTCAATAATAATGTATCAGTGATAAAATAAACAAGGTCCTACTGTCTAGCACAGGGAACTGTATTCAACATCCTGTGATGAACCATAATGGAAAAGAATATGAAAAAGAATGTATGTATGTATATATATATATATATATATATATATAACTGAATCACTTTGTTGTACAGCAGAAATTAACACATTGTAAATCAACTATACTTCAATAAAATTAAAAACCTTAAAAAAAAAGATTGTGATATTCCAAACTCAACCTCCATAGCTTTTACAACAACCATTCAAATTAAAGAAAAGGTAGCTAAAAAAAAAAAGTCCCTGCATCTCTCAGTATATTGATGGCAATACTAATTTCTGAAATTCCTCCATGAGTGAGGTGTTGCTTCAGGCTTACTATCTTAAGGAACAGTTCTAGAAGCATCTCTTTGACCTTTCCCTAACAAAACGCCTCAAGGAAACCGAAATGGTAATTTTAGTGGTTAGTAAGTGTATCTATTCCTACAATCCATCCTGGGCCTGAGGAACTAATCTATTTTCGTTATCTTTATAGGGCATTTTGTAATTTATGATTTTGTAAGTTTCTGTGCACAGGCTTTGCACATTTTTCTTGGACTTTAACATTTTGCTTCTGATTTATAAGTGCTTTTAAAACTATTAATTAGGGTTTCTCTGGTGGCGCAGTGATTAAGAGTCCGCCTGCCAATGCAGGGGACACGGGTTCAAGCCCTGGCCCAGGAGGATCCTACATGCCACGGAGCAACTAAGCCCATGCGCCACGACTATTGAGCCTGCGCTCTAGAGTCCACCAGCCACAACTGCTAAGGCCCGTGTGCCTAGATCCCATGCTCCGCAACAAAAGCCACCGCAATGAGAGGCCTGTGCACCGCAAGAAGAGTGGCCCATGCTCGCCTCAACTGCAGAGAGCCCCCTGCACAGCAACGAAGACCCAATGGAGCCAAAAAAAAAAAAAAAAAACTATTAATGATATTGCGTTTTTGCTAAGACAGCATTGAAAACATTTCCAAGTTATTATGTCTTTCATCTTATCATTTATGACGTTTTTACTTTTTTATTTTTTCAAATCTTGTCATCATTCTATTTATAGTTTTTCTTTGGATGTCGTGACTTTCACTCCTTAAGTATACAGAAATACTTACTGATGTTTTCTTTTAGTTTTTTTTTTTTTTTTTTTTAGCTGCATTGGGTCTTCGTTGTGGCACGTGGGACCTTCCTTGTGGCATGCGGGATCTTTCATTGCAGCGCCTAGACTCTTTGTTGAGGCATGGGCTTCTCCCTAGTTGTGGCGCATGGGCTCCAGAGCATGCAAGCTCAGTACTTGTGGCACACAAGCTCTCTAGTTGCGGCGCATGGGCTTTAGAGCACAAAGGCTTAGATGTCCTGCGGGATGTGGGTCTTAGTTCCCCAACCAGGGATAGAACCCGTGCCCCTGCAGAGGATGCGTGGAGTCTTAACCACTGGACTGCCAGAGAAGTCCCTCTTTTTTTAAGTTTAAATCTTTATCTCATCTGGAATTTATCTGGATGTAGTAGAAAGAGGGCTGAGATTGAATCATCTCTTGCCATAAATCATCATATACAGTATTTTATTATATTCTTGTGTCCGTTTATAGACTCTCAAGGGCGTATATGTTCATTCCAAGATTTCTCAACAATGGCACTATTGTTATTTTGAGTCAGTTAGTTCCTTGTTTCTGAGGGCCATTTCAATTATTTGTACTCATTCGTTATTTTAACTGGTGATCTGATCAGAAGTTCTTCCCCATTCTTCATTTACATTTGCCTACCTACTCCTTGCACTACTTTCAGAAATTCTTTTATAATTATCTTATTATGAGGCATAAAGTACTTCTTGATGCAAATTTGGTTGGAAATTTCTCTAAATTTTATGGCTAGGTTTAGAGAGACCTGCATCTTTGAACTGAGGAGTCTTCAATTCAACAATATTATTTATATATCAATGAAGGTGACACCTTTGTCACTTCATCAGGAAACACTTTTTTTTTTTTTTGCGATACGCGGGCCTCCCACTGCTGCGGCCCCTCCCACCGCGGGGCACAGGCTCCGGACGCGCAGGCCCAGCGGCCACGGCTCACACGGCACGTGGGATCCTCCCAGACCGGGGCACGAACCCGCGTCCCCTGCATCGGTAGGCGGACTCTCAACCACTGCGCCACCAGGGAAGCCCCAGGAAACACTTTTAAATGTCCTTATATGGATCCTGCACATGGCATTAAGCCTATCCTGCAATATCTAATATATAGTTTCCCAGAAAATTCAATTTTAGTCCAATAATGTATTTTATTATGTAAATCATATATATTTAATCAGTAACTAGTAAATTGCCAATAGTTCTAACAGTTTTATAGTTGTTTCATCTTTAGTTTCTCAAGAAAGCAATGCTATCACCTCCAATCACAATATTTATTCCTATCCTTTATAGGGTTCATTGTCTATTCTGACATGACCTTATAACAGATTAAAGCAATGATAAATAATTGAGGTGAAAATAGACATATTTGTTTTGTTTGGTTGTTCCTTTCAGTCGGAAGTCCTTGATATCAATTCCTCTTCACTTCCTGCTCTCAAACACCTTCAATGAGTAGCAGACTGGCTCGGCAGTCATTGCCTAAAATCGATCAGGGAAAATTTAGTAATAATAATAATAATAATAATAATAATAATAATGGCAGTGTCTCTAGCAGCTAAGATTGTGAAATAAGGCCACAGACTTCTTTCCAATAGTGCTGAAATTACGTCGGGGAGACAGACAATAAGCACCAAATAAACTCACAGAAAATGAGGAGTATAAATGCAAGAGAGACTCCTATTAGAGCAATTAACAAAAGGAGAGATAATGCTTCCAGGGGGACTCCTCAAAATGTCACGTGAGAGAGGGACCTTTACACTGAGACCAAGGAGTAGAACACGAGGTGCCCGACTGTGGGGAGAGAGAGGAGGGGATGTTTTCTTACAGGGAAAATGTCACTGATTTTTTAATTGATGGATTAGATCTGCAGAATGAAGAGAGGGTGGTGTTGGACGCCTGCAGACCTATGGCAACAGAAGCTGGGGGAGTAGGGGTGCCTCCGCACAGATTTTAAACAAAATAACGGAGGGAAGGGAATTCCCTGTCAGTCCAGTGGACAGGGCGCTTCCACTGCAGGGGGCATGGGTTCCATCCCTGGTCCGGGAACTAATATCCTTCAAGCCGCGCGGCCAAACAAAGGAAAAATAATAGAGAAAATAACGGAGGGAAGGACAAAGAATATAAATGGGAACATTGACAAGAAAAATCCTGATCATACGCTAAAATGATAGAAATGAAATCTTACAGAAGCAAACCAGAATTAGATCTTAGTGCATTAAAAAAAAAAAAAAATCAGATTTCGAGACCAAAGTGGAAAAAATACGGTTTCCCTGAAAACTCAGACACAATGATATCAATTTTCAGTGTAGGTGCTGATATACTAGAGGTCGTGGTCCCTAAAGCCCCAAGTCCACCCCTGACCCTGGAAGTCACCAGTCTCTCGCGTCCTGTCCAGTCCCGCCTCCAGACACGGGATGCTCCGCGTGGAAACTGGGTCAGGACATTCAAGACCAGAAAGGAGGACGAACACGGGCCGTCGAGCTGCGGGCTGACGCCAAGTCCGACCTGCCCGGAGCGAGTTCCGCTCGGAGGCCACATCCCGCGCAGGCAGTTCCACGTCCAGGGTAGAAGGCCGGCCAAAGGGCAGAAGCTGAGAATCCACGTTTCCGCCCGGCTTTTCCACGTGATCCCTGCCCCCGCCCATCTCCCAGGCAGCGTCGGTGCAGACACCCAAATTGCCCAATCAGGGGCACCGGGGCCTGTAGCACAATCCTCAGAGGCTCCAAATGTGGGGCCCGAAGCGCTGTGCAATCAGGGTGCGTGCCTCGGGAAACTACCCAATCAGAGTCCCCATGGTGAGGGAGTACCTGGAGAACTGTCCAATCAGAGGGCGGGGAATCCCAATTCTATCCAATCAGGGTGCGGGGCCCGGAACACCGCCCAATCAGGGCCGGGGGGCGGGCACGCTCCCAGCCCACGTAGGAGGTCGTTCTCGGCCGCCAGTGGTACTGGTGTGCTACCCCGCGCGACCCGAGGTTAATCTTTCCCATCGCTCTCACCATCCCAGGTCGCGGGGCCGCGAGACCACGGGAAGGACTTCCGGCAGAGTCCGGAGCCGGGCGGAGATGGTGAGTGCGCTGACCGGGTCGGAGACTGCGAGGGGCTGGTTCGAACCGTCAGGAACCAGCTGGAAACTGACGCGGGCCGGGGTCTCCACGCCCCTCCCCCAGGGTCACGGCCAGAGTCCCCGCCCTTGGTCGCGGTGTGGGGGGTCCCCCTGTATCCCTTGCGTTTTCTTTAGTGACTCACCAAGCTTCCTAAACTATGAGGCTTTAAACGAGGGGATCATTTAATTTCTCATTCGTTTATCGCAACCACAGGGGGCAGGGTATATAGCACTTATTAGACATTCAAGGTATTTTTCATTAAATAGATGGATTCTGGTGCCCATGGGATTGAGTTTCTCGCGTGTAAAAAACTAGGATTAGAGTCAGCATTTCAAGTACAAAGAATGAGTTGCAATTACATTGAACCTGTAGATGAATTCGAGGGTGGATCTACATCCTTTACGGTATTGAACTTTGCGATCCACGGTCTTGGTATGTCTCTCCATTAATTTCCTTTAATAATGTTTTACTGTTTTCGTCATGTTTTACAAAACCTTTGTTACACTTGTTCTGCATGTAATGTTGATGCTGATTTAAATGGTATCTTAAAAAAAAATACTGTTCCTGGTACATAGAAGTAAACTCATTTTTGAGCATTTTTCTTAGTGTCTTTGTTAGGTGCAAGCATAGATTTTAATTATTGATCTGTAAAATCTTTGAATCTTTACTTACAAAATCTTAGCTGCAAATAATGATAGTTCAGCTTTTTTCTTGTCCTGTCATTTTACCTTTTTCTTTTCTTTTTAAATGATTCACCAGGACCTCCTGTCCAGTGTAGAATAAGGTACTCTGTGTGTCTTGTCTTCTTGACAAGAGAGCTGTTTTACTATTTCAGATTTTTCATTTAACACTGCAGTAAGTGTTTTTATACACCATCTTCCCCAGGTAGTCATGTTCCTTCTAGTTCTGATGTATTAAATTTTTATGTCCATTAATGATAGTCATTGTTTTGGATTTGAGGACAACGAATTATGATTTTTCTGCATTTCTATTAATATAGTAAAATGGATTAACTTTTGTATACTGAAAACTACAAAAAAAATCTATTTAATTTTTATTGTAGTATTGTTGCTTTACAATGTTGTGTTAGTTCCTGCTCTCCAGCAAAGTGAATCAGTTATACGTGTACATATATCCCCTTTTTTAGATTTCCTTCCCATTAACATCACCACAGAGCACTGAGTAGAGTTCCTGGTTTTATAAAATGGATTAAGTTTTAAACATTATTGCATTCCTAGAGTAAAATGTGCTTGGTTGTGGGACTTCACTGGTGGTCCAGTGGTTAGGACTCCATGCTTCCACTGCAGGGGGCACGGGTTCAATCCCTGGTCTGGGAACTAGGATCCCACATGCCCCATGGCTCGGCCAAAAAAAAAAAAAAAAAAAAAGCTTGGTTGTGCTTGATTATGCACATTACTCATTATTTAGGGAACTAATTTTTAATAGAATTTTGCACCTGTGTTTGTTAATGATAGTTTATTTTTTTCATCTGTACTATTCTGCTCTTGGCATGTCTGAAAAAGGAATTGTTTTCTGCACATAGAATTATTGATCTCGTTAATATTTAATAAAACTATTCGTAAAACAATTTGGGATTTTTGTTTCCTTTTTGTGAATGTTTGAAAATACCCTTTTATTATCTTTAAATTACTTTCGACTACTGAGTAGTATGGAAGTACTCAGATTTTAAAATTTTATTTTAGACCATTCCCCTCCTCTCGTGTTTAATCCCTAGAACATCCCTAATTATGCCTGCTTTTTCATTTGTAACTTTATTTGCCCATGCTTTGTTTTTCTTGAAAAAAATTGTCAAGAGCTTGCAACCTGATTAGTTCTAGGAGATGCGGTTTGTACGGTTTTTTGTTTTGGACTCACCGCACAGCTTGTGGGATCTTGGTTCCCCAACCAGGAGTTGAAGCCAGGCTCTTCGCAGTGAAACCACAGAGTCCTAACCACTCGACCACCAGGGAATTCCCAAGAGATGTGTTTTTAGCCTCCCTTTTATATCGTTCATTTTGCCCTTCACATTTCATTCTGTGCTTTCTTTTATTCTGCTTCTCCTTTTCCAGATTCTTGAGTTCATTTTTAGCCCATTGGTACTGTTCTTTCTTTCTATTTCTGGGAGTAGATGGTGCTTCTGCTCTTGGCTGGGGACACTTTGATTCTAGTGTCTCTCCAGTGGGACATGGTGAAGTTAACAAGCACTTGAAACCTTTCCAGAGATTTTGTGAAATCATGACATTCTGTTTCTAATTCTTACAGTTTAAAAATGCAGTGGCATTAAAAACAAACAAAAAACCAAGCCACAGTATCCATTTCCAGTGTTACCCAGATGGTTATGTCACTGTTATGATTTCATTCTGCCCCAGTCCCTTTGCTCATGTTCCTAGTTCCAAATGCCTTCATTGTCCTGTGTTTTACCTACAGCACTTACCCCTTCATCTAGATAATGTTCAATTTACTTATTGTCTTCCACCGTGAGATTTTAAGATCCATGTGGTTCAGAATTTTTCTCAAGTGCTGTATCTCTATAACTGCATGTAGTAGGAATTATCACCTAACTAGATTTTCAGCAAATGAATGAGTCAGAGCTACAGTTGTATAGAGAAGCAACTTGCCTGAGACAGAGGGCTTTGCCAGAAGAAAGAGCCCAAGGATGTCTGATGTGAAGAGAATGTTCCATTTTTCTAGTCTCCACTGTCCTCTCCAGGAGACAGGCAGAGTCTAGATCTGCACTGTCCACTAGAGCACCCCTGGCCACACATGGCTGTTGAGCTCTTGTACAGCTATCAAAATTGAGTTGGGTGCATGTGTGAGATCCATACCAGATTTCTAGCATTAAGTATGACAAAGATAACATAGACTATCTCAATAATTATGTTGGTTATGTACTGAAACGATCTGTGTACTTGTATTTAGTGGGCAAAATGAAAATTATTAAAATTTCAATACAGGGACTTCTCTGGTGGTCCAGTGGTTAAGACTCCATGCTCCCAGTGCAGGGGGCCCAGGTTCGATCCCTGGTTGGGGAACTAGATCCCACATGTTGCAAGTGAAGATCCCACGTGCCACAATGAAGATCCCACGTACCACAAGTAAGACCTAGCACAGCCAAATAAATAAATAAATATTAAAAATTTCAATACGACATTTTTATAAGGTAGTGACAAGAAAATTCAAATTTGGATATGTTGTCTGTATTGTCTTCCTATTTAATGGCACTGCTGTAGATCAGGGGTTGGCAAACTACAGCCCACAGGCCAAACCCAGCCTGCCACCTACTTGCATAAATAAAGTTTTATTGGTACACCACCACGTCCATTCTTCGACGTGTTGTCTCTGGCTACTTCTGTGTGACAAAGGCAGACCTGAGCAGTTGCAACAGAGACCACGTGGCTAGAAAAGCCTAACAATGTACTCTCTGACATTTGCAGACAAAGCCTGCTGATCTCTGCTCTAGGTCATTGTACACATTTTGAGGAATAATGGGCATAATCATCCTGTAACATGTATGTACAGAATTGCAGCTGCTAGACATTTAGGATTTTAAAGCAGTCAGACCTACATACAAGGTTCTAATTGGGTAACATTGAGCATATTATTAATTGATTCTGTCCTTTTGAGTTTCCTCTGCTACATACTGATTGTAATGATATCTACTGTGAGATTTATTATGAGACATAAATGAACTCAGGTGTGCAAAATATTTCACACATCATGGATGCTCAAATAGCACATTTTCTTATTAATGCTGTTGTGAGACTGTTACAGGTTTTGATGGCTTTTAAATGTTACCTGATACACAGTAGTGGAAGAGTTAGTTGAATTTTATCTGTGGATAAAATTTTGTGTTGAGACAGTGCTAGATACCAGAGTACCTTGATAATTAGTAATTAGGGATGTCCAAAGCAGCTGACTTTACTTACCAGCCTCATGAGAGAGTGTTCCCATTCTGGAGCATTCTTGTTCTGCTGCTGTTTATTGAACAGGTAAATCGTATCCCCTGCATTGGAGTGTGGCAGCCTATGTTCACACCTCTGCGTGTGGAAGCTGATGGAGTGATGCACTTCCTCAAAAGCCAGGCTGTTGGGGGACCCTGTGAGCCATCAGATTCCATGCTCAGGGGTTGGGCAGTTATGCCTGTCTGCATGCCACGGGGTGCAGAAATGACTGCTGTGTGTAGTGCCCCTAGGAGGCTGGTGTATAAGTCAGTGCCTCTGGCTTTTCAGTGGGAGCAGATGTCCTTCGGGAGGAAGGTGCCACCTGATCCCTTTATACCTTTTATGATCTGGGCAGATTCACAGCTAAACCCTTCTGGACTTCAATTAATTCATTTCTACAGTGGGCTCAGAACTGCCTCTTCACAGGCAGGAAGGACCAGGGCACTCTTTTCTGGGGAAGGCAAGGCTGTTCTGGTGTCTTGTGACATCAGTTGAGGAAGAGCCACCACCCATAATTTTGACATCACTCATAATTATCAGCACTCAGGCCCCTGAATGCAGGCACTGTCGTGAGTTCTGAAGTCTTAGGCTTCCCTTCTCTTGGCTGGGCTCCAACTTGTCAATACACTGACTGCCTCCTGGAGAGCATGGAGAGAGAAAGGAAAAGGTGCTGTTTTATAAAAGAACAGGAAACAGATAAGGAAATATTAATGCTTCGCATAAAGGTGGACCCGCCAGTTTATGATGGATTGGAATTTTCCAAGGAACTATATCCATCTCAGGGCCTGGGTTGAAGGTTGGGCATAATCAGGCCTCTTGAGAATCAAATTGTTGGTGAGGGGGCAAGCAAGAAATGCCCCTCAACCCTCACTGTGTTTTAATTCATTAAAACCTCATCCAGGCCTGACTTGGTTTCATATCGTGCTTTCACCTGTATTGGACCATGGAGAAGGAGATGAAATCATTTTCGTTACAAGGGACTCATGTTTTTAAAGACAAATAATTGTTTTATTTGTACAGTATTTCTTCCATATCTCCAATGTATTGTGGGCTGTTCTGGACCCTTCAGATGGAGGGGAAGAGAGGAAGGAGCCAGAGTCAAACTAGAGAGATGGGTGTTAAATCTATGAGGCAGGCTGGCATCTTGGAGGAAGTCAGTGCTGAAGAGAGGGGAAGAGATGATGACAGAACCCTAGAGTTGATGGGAGACCACAGAACCATGGATGAACTTGCTGTGAATTGAGTCCCGGTTCCCCAATGCTGTCAGCCTCCACCGTCCTTCTGCACACACAGGTGGAGAGTGGTACCTTGTTAAACCAGAATTTGTTGGATGTTTTAGGAGTCAGTGGTCTTTGAGGATGTGGCTGTGGACTTCACCCCAGAGGAGTGGGCTTTGTTGGATCCGGCTCAGAGGAACCTCTACAGAGATGTGATGCTGGAGACCTTCAGGAACCTGGCCTCAGTGGGTAAGGATGACATCATTCCTTTACTGACTCTCTAGAGGACAGGTATCCCTAAGCTATTGAGCTTGCTCTAGAACTTGGGCTGAACAGTGGGAATTTATTGTTAAGTAAGACAGACAGGGTCACATTACTATGGAGCATATAGTCTAACAGCTTTCTCATGTATGTATGAAACCTACTACTTTCTCATTAAATGTTTTTAGCCTCTGTAAGGGTTATAACTGTTCCTTAAGAGGAACAGCCCTTGTTGGGGAACATTACATTTGGAAATATTAATTAGAAAAAGAAATTACTCTTTTTTTCTGTGGAAGTTGAATTTTGCAGATACGTTAGCTTCCCTTTTTTTGACTTTTCATCCATCCTCATGAATGGCCTTGCCCACATTGAAAGACCTTCCATATTTCCTCTTTGAAAGTTTATATTTGGGCATATGCATTTTGTCCAATTCCGTCCTATGTTGCTTCCTGACAATAGGGCGTTTATGTCACCAGAAGTCTCAGTCTTCATGGAATTATTTCCAGTAAATTGCCCACCATTTTGTCTTCTTGTCCTTATTATTGTCAAAGTCCTCAAGTAGCCAGAACTCCTCTGATTCTTTTTTTACTCAAAAGTGCATTTTTCCTTATAAAATTTATCTCTTGGGTTGCTCTTGGAAAGAAATGTACATGTTTCCTACTTATTTTCTTGCCTTAATCCCAAGAGTTCATTCCAAAGAAAGTAAACTTGTTACTATTTTTAATATTATGGCACTCAAATTAAAATCAATGGGTTAAGTCCTCTACAGTGAATGTTTGGGGAAGTATGAAATGAACAGAATATAGTTAAGTTTCAGAAGAAATGATTCCTGGTTCTTCATTTTAGGAGAAAACTGGAAATGCCATAGCATTGAAGATCAGCACAGGAACCAGGGAACACATTTGAGGTGAGTGACACATACATTAGAGAAAGCAGGTCTCAGGAGACAGTGCCATGATATTAAGTGTGTAGATATATGTCAGATCTTAAGTGTTCACAGAGAATTTTCACAAGACAATTTTATAAACATGATACAGATGTTGGCTGATTGAGACGTAGTTCAGTTGTAAACAATTGTCAGGAAACAAAATCCCATATACAAAAAACAGTGAAAATGGTACCTCAGGTTGAGCCCTCTGTCAGAGCACTCAGCTTATATCACTTTGAAACAATTCTAACAGGGCAAGAAACATACACATTCACTGAAAATGGTAAAAGTGTAATCATATTAATCATTAAAAACCATAATGAATTGTTAACAAATCATTAGTAATATGATTCCTATTTTTAACAGATGGCGTGTGGTGGAGATACCCTCAGAAAATAATGAAAGTAATCAATGTGGAGAAACCAACCAGATTTCCAATCTTATTGTACATAAGAGACTTTCTACTGGAGTAAAATCCTATGAATACAATAAGTTTGAAAAACCCATCATGGATTCTTCATCCTTCAAGAGTCCCATAGCATCATCTCAACATGGACAAAAACCCTATCAGTGTAAGGAATGTGGGAGAACTTTTATTTCTTACTCTTCCTTTGGGGCACACATAAGAGCTCACACTGAAGAGAAACCCTATGCATGTAAAGAATGTGGAAAAGCCTTTATATATTTCTCCAAACTTAGAGTCCATATAAGAACTCACACTGGAGAGAAGCCTTATGAATGTGAAAAATGTGGGAAAACCTTCAGATCTCCCTCAAACCTTTGGACACATAGAGAAACTCATACTGTTGAGAAACCCTATGCTTGTAAAGAATGTGAGAAATCCTTCTCTTCTCCCTCTTCTCTTAGAAAACATGTGAAGGTTCACAGTGCAGAAAAAGCCTATGAATGTAAGGAATGTGGAAAAGCCTTCCTTCATTCTTTTTACCTGATCATACATGCAAGGATGCACACTGGAGAGAAAGCCTATAGATGTGTGGAATGTGGGAAAGCCTACAGCTGGCCCTCAGACCTTAGGATTCACATGAGGACACACTCTGGAGAAAAGCCTTATGAATGTAAACAGTGTGGAAAATCTTTCAGTTCTCCTTCATCCTTTAAGGGACATTTGCGAACTCACACTGGAGAGAAACCTTACGCATGTAACAAATGTGGGAAAGCCTTCAGTAGTCCTTCGTACTTTAGAACACATGTGCGAATTCACACTGGAGTGAAACCCTATGTGTGTAAGCAATGTGGGAAAGCTTTCAGCTGGTCATCATCATTTCGAGGACATTTGAGAACTCACAGTAGAGAGAAACCGTATGAATGTAAGGAATGTGGTAAAGCCTTCAGTAGGCTTTCATCCTTACAAAGACATGTGAGAATTCACACTGGGGAGAAACTCTGAATGTCAGCACTGTGAGAAAGCCTTCTATACTCCCCTATCCTTAAAGAAAACACATGGAAACTCAGGAAGGAAGGAAACTCCATGCCAGTTCCAATGATGGAAGGCCTGCATGCAGTTTACATGTATTGTGCACCACAAACTGCATAGCATTGGAAAATATTTACAAAGGTTTTGGATATACTGTTGGCTTTATTAGTGCCTTATTCTTAAAGTAGATCCCTATCACATTATTTCCAGTTCTTTATGAGAATAACATCTAGGAGATAATAATTCTTTAAGTATTACTTTGCCAGGGCTGCCTTAACAGATTGCCACAAAGTTGGTGGCTTAAAGAAACAAATGTATCCTCTTTCAGTTCTGGGTACTAGAAATTGGAAATCAGGCGTTATTAGGGTTGGTTCCTCATGAGGGTTCTGAAGAAGAATCAGATCCACGTGCTCTACAAACTTCCAGTGGCTACAGCAATCCCTGGTGTTCTTGGCTTGTGGACGCCATCATTTATTTATTTATTTTTTGGGCCACACTGTGAGACATGCAGGATCTTAGTTCCCTGACCAGGCATTGAAACTGTGCCCCCTGCAGTGGAAGCATAGACTCCCAACCACTGGACTGCCAGGAAGTCCCAGTAGACACAAGCATGCATCACTCCAATTTCTGTCTTAATTTTTTTTAATTAATTAATTTAATTTTGGCTGCATTGGGTCTTCATTGCTGCGCACAGGCCTTCCCTAGTTGTGGCGAGCAGGGGCCACTCCTCGTTGAGGCGCACAGGCTTCTCACTGTGGTGGCCTCTCTTGTTCTGGAGCACGGGCTCTAAGTACGCGGGCTTAGCTGCTCCGTGGCATGTGGGATCTTCCCAGACCAGGGCTCGAACCCATGTCCCCTGCATTGGCAGGTGGATTCTTAACCACTGTGCCACCAGGGAAGTCCCTGATGAGGAATTTTAATATTTCTTGTTTAGAAGGCAAAAAAGAGGGCTTCCCTGGTGGCGCAGGGAAGAGAGGCCACGATAGTGAGAGACCCGCGAACCACGATGAAGAGTGGTCCCACTCGCCGCAACTAGAGAAAGCCCGCGTGCAGCAACGAAGACCCAACACAGCCAATAAATTTATAAATTAATTTTTTAAAAAAGAAGGCAAAAAGAAGGGACTGGGGCTAAAATTAACTTGTAAGGAAACAAGTCAGTTTTGTTAACTAGACTAGAAGAAAATTTCATCATTTTTGTGATTTGCATAATTCTTTTGATCCTGTATGACGACATGATCACAGAGTGCTCTTGCTTGTGCCTTACTCCATAACATAACACCCAGTGGCCTTGTCTGATGACAGTGTTTAAAATGGTTTCTGTTTAAGGGACCTGCCTGGTGGTCCAGTGGTTAAGATTCTGCACTTCCACTGCAGGGGGCTCAGTTTCGATCCCTGGTCAGGGAACTAGGATCCTGTTTGCCACCATGTGGCATGGCCAAGAAATTAAAAAAAAAAAAGTTTCTGTTCAGCAGAACGCCACAGCCTAGGAGTGAAGACCAGGCCAGGTAGACCCCCATATCAAGGGCTGATTCTTTTTTCTCACTATGTGAACATTTTAGTATGTTTACTATATATCTGCCACTGTTTTGTTTCCCATAAATTAGTTCAGTTAATGTAAATTGAGATAATCCTCCAAAACTATAATGTAGATACTCTAATCTCCTTTTGTGAGTTAACTGGGGCCTACAGATTACAAAGCTAGCAAGTGGTAAAGACAGGATCAGGATTCAAAACAAAACCTTCTAGCTCTGAGACCATGCTCTTCACTGCATGTTAGTCTTTGAACCTCCTTAATACACCAGCCATTCTAAGCTCAAAACAAAATTAGGCCCAATCATGGCACACATGATAGACTCTCAATGCAGAAGCAGGAAATAAGTCCTTGCAGTTCTGATTTGGCATCAAAGATGGAAATATGTGTCTTGGTGGAAAATAATCCATGATAAGAGAGATAATAGGGAAAGCAGGAGGGTGTAGTCTGCTTTTTTTCCTCTGAAAGGCAGGGGGCATCAGTGAGTGAGGATGTGTTCATTAACTTATAATTCCATCATCTAGTGTCTTAAGTAAACACTACTAAAGGAAATGCTCAAGGGAAGTAGAATAATGAGTCTCCATAAAAATAAAATCCTTGTGTTTGCCAAGGGGGAGGGGGTGGGGAAGGGAAGGATGGGGTGTTTGGGATTAGCAGGTGCAAACTATTATATATAGGATGGATAAACAGGGTCCTACTGTATATCACAGAGAACTATATTCAATATCCTGTGATAAACCACAATAGAAAATAATATGAAAAAGAGTATATATATATATATATATATATATATATATATATATATGACTGAATCACTTTGCTGTACAGCAGTAATACAACATTATAAATCAAGTATACTTCAATAAAATTTGAAAAATAAAATTTTTCTCATGGTTCAATTTGCAGTAATTAAAAGCTTTAGCTCATGTGACATGTACTTAGGAGTTGGAAAGGGTTTCTGTCATCAGTGTCCCATCATTTATTTGGGCCACAGAGTGTGGCTGTTTATAATTCTTTTGAAAGAACTGTAAATTGGATTATATATTTGGCATTATCATTTTGCTATTATAGTATAGTCCAATGAGAGTTCTGTATCCCGGAAATCAGAGTTGCCCCCTAGTTTGCAAAAGGAATATGGTCATTTGCACAGCTATACCCTAGCATGTGCCTTTTCCTATGAGCAGAATGATACCTATACAAGCTCTCGGAAATGTCCAGGTAGATGCAAGGAAAACTGCGGTCGGTGACGGGATTTTTCCACATCATAAATCCATTTCAGCTCTCAAATTCCTTTCCCAAGCCCATTTCTATGTGTTTTTGCTGAGAGACCTCATTAAGGGATCCACACCTGTCTCCATTTTGGGAATATTTCCCCTAAGCAATGCCATGTGGCAGTGAGTGGGAACAGAAAACAAGGGCAACCAGGGCCCAGGACAGTTACTAATAAACTTTGGGCCAAGGGCAGAGGAACCGGCTCTCAATCATCTTCACCTCAGCAGCAAGTGCCAGGGTCACCACGCCTACCTCAGTCTCACCACCACCTCGACGCTGGACCCACAGATGCCACATGCGCAATCACAGCCCCTGTGTCGCAGTCGACCACCATGGGTCAGGAGCAATCGGGGAGGGGGCTCAGGGCTGCACATGCGCAGTCCACACCTAGAGCCACCTGGACTCTGGCTCCCTAGTCATTCGCAGGCTCCAGACCGGCTTTAAAGAGCCCTCCCCTTTGTCCTCCAAGTTCATTTACTTCCTGGGACACCACCCCAGGGAACCTGAGCCCCTTGAAAAATGCAGCTGGAAGAAAGCCCACAGAGACTAGATTCCAGGCCCTCATTGCTTCCAGCACACAACGCGGCCTCCATGCCCCACCAGCTGCCCCCAGAGGCTGCTGGTCGTTCTGACCTTTGTCGACTGCCCAGGTTCAAGTGGATTATCCTTCCCGTGTTGGTAGCTGTGGCCTCTGGTTTTCCGGAAAAGCCCGAAAGGACGCCAGGCAGGGCCGAAGGTAGCGGAAATCTCTGCCTTCTAGTCCGGCCTCACTGGACCTCACTTCCGCCTCCAGCCAGTAACCAGGTACTGAGGCCAGGTGAGGGGTTGGGAGGTTTCCCGAGGCTTCAACCTCCCTTCCTTCCCCGACCATGGCTGCCACTGGGAAGGCAGCTAGGTGCTAAGGAAACCACAGCAGATGCTGAGAGACTTAGAGGATACAACAGCTAAAGAGGGATTGCACACCTTGGCAGCCCCAATGCAGTTCCTCCCTGAAATCAAAGGGACAACCAAAACCCTCTGTATTGTCAGGTAGTGAGGGGCCTGTTCTTGGAAGAGACCTAAAGCAGAGTGGCTGGCTGGAGCATCCTTGACAAGGGATGTTGGCCCTTGACTCTCAGGGCCTCAGGCTCTTATCATGTGGTGGTGATGTCCCCTTGGCAGTTTCTTATGGTGAGTTTCTTCGAATGTTATGCACGGTGAGGGCTCATCATTGTGAGGTCACCTCCCTCACCAGGTCGGCTGAAAGACCCTCCTTTGGGATTTGTTTTGAGTGCCAAGGGACATCACTGCCACATGGGAAGGGGGTAAGAACTGTATGGGTCTGTTATGAGCTTTGAACAAAACCCTCATTGTTTGTGTGTGAATATATAAGTATCTGAACCTGGTCATTCAACTAGCGTTTATTGATCACCTATGTACCAGGTCCTGTTTTACATGCTGGAGGTGCAGCAATGAATAGACACACACACACACACACACACACACACACACACACACACACACACACACAGTCATGGGGATGTAATGAACAGCAAGGTGACTATAGTTAATAATACTGTACTGTGTATTTAAAAGTTCCTAAGAGAGTAGATCTCAAAAATTTCAGTACACACACTGGGGAAAACCCAGAGACAGAGAAACACTACAGTCATCCATGCAGTGAGATGCACAGACAATCGGCACTCCTGTCAGGACACAGGAATCACCACTCAAACACCTGAACCTTCCCAGACAAATGCATGTGGTGGCATGACAAAATCACACAAACTTTGTCACTGGGACATACACGTGGACACACTCAGACACAGACACACAAATTCAGACACACTGGCAAAGATGATGTCTCCAGAGAAACTAATACACTCCCAGAGATACACAGCCTACAGCCTCTGTGACTCCCCACTCTCCAACAGCTCTCTTTACTTAGAACTAACCAACATCAGATACGTAATCTATTTCACTTGTTATCTCTCCTCCTGGAACAGGGACTTCGCACTTCCTGAACCTGCAAAGTACAAAACGCCTCTCTCCGTAAGAACCACAAGAACCCAACCTGTGGAAGAAGTGTCGGGGCCCGACGTGGCTTGGGATATCATGTTCCAGCCCCCCACACTGCTGAGGAGTCTACCAGCAACACACTCATCACTACCTTTACCCTTTGTCACTCTGCTTTCCAATTGGAAACTCAATGCAGGCAGCAATGGTGTCTGTCTTGTCGACTGGCAGCCATGTGTCCTGCACTGTGGTCCCCTTGGCAGCGCTCTCTGCTGGTCTCATGTGCCCGTAGACTCCACTCCGTCCACCCTGGGTGGCCCCAGTGTCCTCCCGGAGACTCTGAGGATGGGCGCTTAGGGAGCGTGGACCACACATCTCCAGGCCACAGAGGTAAGTCTTGCTGATGCGCAAGACGTGGTTACCCGACTTCCATCTTTCCCTGGGCGGCCTCTCAGTCACCCCAACCACGAGCACCTGTGCACTTCTGCGAAGTCTGCGATCCCCGGTGTCTCCAGCGGTGTTTAAGAGGCGGTCGCGTTGCATGCCGGGAGGAGTCTGGGGGCGGGGCTCTGGGCGTCTGCTTCTGAGATCTCCATTTCCCACAGGCCACAGCGGCTGAGACTACGCTCAGCGCAGGCGTTGGTAGAAGTGCGCATGCACTGCGGTGGGGCACGACCCAGAGGGGAGGTGGGGAGGAGGTGCGACTGGAAGTGATAAGTTTGAGCGGGATTGGTGCACCTTCAACCTAAATCCTCCGGTGGTGGATGATCGTGGGGCAGTGGGTGTATGCGCGTGGGTGCCAACGGGCAGGCCATGGCTGGATGTCCCTTTGACGTCCCTGGAGGTTTTGAGATTGGTGTGTGCCTTGGAGCTTGTGGGCGCTGAGCTGATGCTCCTGAGGAAGCGGGGGTTGCTGTGGCCACAGGTCGTCTGTCACTTTGTCGCAGGTTCTGCTACTGCTGTGTTTCTGTCATCTCCCAGACCCATGCATCTGCCGCAACATTCCACATGTGGGAGTGTAGAACCCTCATGATGTCTCCCAGCAAGAAGTCACAGGACCCGGCCTGATGCAATTTTAGAGCTGGATGGCCTCCAGACAGGCCCAGGAAAGGCATGATGCTGATGCCCAAAGATTAAGATGCCCCCAGGCAGGTCTCTTGGGGAGAATTGTAGGGGCGCTTTTATGGTTCAGACCAGAGAATTCCCAGAGATCTCACTGGAGGAAGCTGGCATAAACTCAGAGAAAGATTCCAGGAGCCCTTTCACTTCTCTCCTGTTGTGTGAGGCTAAGGACAGACGTGGTCCCTGCGGGTGTTTCCTAACTTTAGACCGAGTTACAAGAATCTGTTTGGCCCCAAGTCCTTCTCCCGGCCCCCTCAGGTCCTTCAGCATTTATTGAGGATCCCAAGATGGAGGTGGGGTGGGTGTCATGCTTCAGGAGTTTTAAAATTCCCTTAGCAAACGAAGGCTTTGTTTTTCTATTATTTTTAATATACATGCAGTAAAATTCACTATTGTAAGTAAAGCGCCATGAGTTCTTATAAGTGCAGAGATAACACCAACAGTCAAAATGAACACGCCATCACCCTGAAAAGAACAGGTGCTCATTTGTTCTCAAATACCCCACCCATAATCACTCACCTGTTTGCTTCCTATACTCTTGTCCTATCCACATCTCATAAAAGGAAAGCCTTCCTTTGTTAGGGGTCTTTTTGTAAAACTCGATGCCAGTTTTCTAAAATTCAGAAATCACACTTGCCTTCCAGTGTTAAATGTCTAACACTTCCCAATAAAGATTAAGCAAAACTAAAACCTCCAAACCTGACATTCCGTTTTTATGAGCTACATGAGTTTGGGCAACTCTGTGCTCCCCATGCTTGTCATCATCTGAATGATAGGAGGGAAGGAGGTACAGCTGATTGTCAAATCACATCAAACTATGGAGTGCTATGAAAACCTAAGTTAGCACGGAAAAGAAATTAGAGATTAGACATCAACTGCTCTTTAATAAAAATAACTGCTTCTGTTCTACCAATTAGTTTTAGCCAACCTCAACTACTTATGCTTTCTACACTCACCAAACACCAGCCCAAATCGGAAAATACATTCTTCCAAACAACCTCTGACTGGTACATCCCACTGTCTGTGCACTCATTCAAATTGCTTTAACTCAATACATCCATTTTCTTTGGTCAAACCAATGTGGTCCTGGTGGTTTTTGACTAGAGACCATTGACAAAACCATTATTTAAGCTTTTATTATAAAAAAAGAATAAGCAATCCATTTAATGACAGATGTTGAAGTATGTAACAATAAAAATGTTTATATGACAAAAAACACCTTAACTTGTATATGCCAGCTAATATTGTCTCAGACTGTATAATGCTTAAATTAACAATATTAGTTGATTTAAATCCATAATTGCAATGGAATACTTTAACATATTCTCAGTACATGAAAAATAATAACATTTGTATTATGGATTGAACTGTGTTCCCTCCAAAATTCATATGTTAAAAGTTCCAGTATCTCAGAATGTGACCTTATTTGAAAATATGGTTGTTGCAGATATAATTAGTTAAGATCAGTTCATACTAGAATAGGATGGGCCCTAACCCAATACGTATGGTGTCCTTATAAAAAGAATGCCATATGAAGAGACAGGCATGCACAAGTAGAATGCCATGTGAAGATTTTTTTGTGTTGGGGGGAGCTGCGTTGGGTCTTCATTGCTGAGCATGGGCTTTCTCTAGTTGCAGCGAGCGGGGGCTACTCTTTGTTGCAGTGTGCAGGCTTCTCTTGTTGTGAAGCACTGGCTCTAGGTGCATGGGCTCCAGCAGCTGTGGCATGTGGGCTCAGTAGTTGTGGCGCACAGGCTTAGTTGCTCCGCAGTATGTGGGATCTTCCTGGACCAGGGCTCGAACCCGTGTCCCCTGCATTGGCAGGCGGATTCTTAACCACTGTGCCACCAGGGAAGCCCCCATGAGATTAGTTATGCTTGTTACAAGCCAATGAGCTAACAGAAGCTAGGAGAGTGCTGGAACACATCCTTCCTTAGCACTTTCAGAGGAAGCATGGTCCTTCCAACATCTTAACTTTGGACTTCTGCTTCCAGAACTGTGAGACAAAAATTTCTGTTGCCCTAGCCACCCACCTGTGTGGTGCTTTGTTACAGAAACCCTAGGAAACTAATACAGTTTGTATACAAGTGATTTGGAAACACAGTAAACAAGATATTTCTAAGACATACCTACAGAAGATTTTTCTTGAAAATAAACAGTTTTTAGTGACTTAGAATCAAACATAATAATTAAACCCATATCAAGGAACTGCATTCAGCTCTAACAGACATCTCCCCAAATTCATGAGGAGTATGTTTGTTCTCATGTGGGACTGAGTCAGCACATTTAAAAACACAGTAGGACTTCCCTGGTGATGCACTGGTTAAGACTCTGCACTTCCACTGCAGAGGGCACAGGTTTGATCCCTGGCCAGGGAAGTTCTGCGTGCCACATGGTGCAGCCGGGAAAAAAAAAAAAAGAAAAAAGAAAAAAAATACAATACCTTAACAAAGTCCCACAGGTTGTTTTGTTTTCCTACAACATTGTAGCTTTTGTGGTAGAATCACGATCAGAGAGTCACTAAAAGTTTTGAGAACAAAGAGTTTGCTATACAAATTAGACCTTGTAAAATATGTTAACATCTAGAGAAGAGTGGAATCACAGCATTAGAGATCACTAAACATGAGTCTGAATTAGTGGTCTGCAGGACATGTTAGGGTTTGTAGGAAAATCCAAATTGTGAGTGCCTGACCACATGACTGAATCCCTGACACCAAGCTCTTGGAGGTATTTATGGAAGCCTATAACTAAGAAAAATAGAAATCAAGTACTTGGCATTTCTTTTGATGATACTCTTGATTGGTAAGGCCAACAATCAGGAAAACGGGCTGAAAGCTGGTTTCCAAGTAGCCCCTATGCGTCTCTCTCTCATACTTTAATGTGGCTGCAAAAACTTAGTAATGGCTTCATTTCTGCCTTCCAAATCTCATGCCAATAAGCTACTGGTAAATTCGAACACAGAATCATAAAGGGAAGGCATTCTGGGAACTGTAGCTCCTAACATTACCCATGCTGACGTAACACAATCCAGAACTCTGTATCTCATGATAACATCACAAGTGTCTCTTAAGTAAAAACCCACTGTTTAATTCGCTATCACAAGCAAGGACAAAGCAAAGGGCAAAAGCTGAAAGTAACAATTCACATGAGACTGTACACTTGGAAGAACTCTGCATAATTACAAATTTCTGCCAACTATTTAGAAGAAAAACAGAATAAGACTCCACTGGCCTAAATAAGCAAATAAAGATTCTCTCAATCCACAGTGGAAAACATATAATGCTTGATTATCCAGTATCTGCCACACTAAGCCAGTAGGAAAATACAAACAAATACCACAGTGTCATTGTTCCAATAACCCCTTAAAGGACAATTTAAAGAACATATTAAAACTACTTATATATTAAAAATACACTTCAACGGACCCATGAGTCCAACAAACTGTAAAGATGCTTTATTTCCTAAAACATAAGAAAAAACACTTCCTGCAAAATTTACGTACTGTAGCCAAAAGAGTACTTCAACAGTTAATTTTCATCAAAATGTTTATTTGCAAAAGAACTGGAAATACACTCCCTATGGGTCCACTTTAGTGATGAAGGACTCATAAAGGCAATACCAGGTTTACAACTTTTGTAAGATTTCTCTCCTGATGTGAATTTTCTGAAGCACTGTGCATGAATTCATTTGCAGGAGAATTTCCCGAGTTTCATATGTAGTGTTTCTTGGTAGTATGTATCCTCACATGTCTTCTTAAGGATGAGGAACAACTGAAGGCCTTCCCACACTGCTTACATTCATATGGTTTCTCTCCAGTGTGCATTCTCATATGTATTGGTAAAGATGAGGGCCATTTGAAGACTTTACCACATTCCTTACATTTGTAAGGTTTCTCTGCAGTGTGTGTCCTCACGTGCTGTTGCAAAAGTTCAGGCCAGCTGAAGGCTTTCCCACATCGCTTGCATTCATAAAGCTTCTCAGCAGTGTGCCTCCTCATGTGCCTTTGTAACGAGATGTGGCAACTGAAAGCTTTCCCACAGAGCTTGCATTCATATGATTTGCCTCCAGGATGCATTCTCACGTGCTCTTGATAGCAAGCGGACAAACTGAAGGCTTTCCCACATTGCTTACATTCGTAGGGTTTCTCTTTAGTGTGTGTTCTCGTATGTTTTCGCAAGGATATGGGCCAGTTGAAAGTTTTTCCACACTGCCTGCACTCGTAAGGTTTCTCTCCAGTGTGCACTCTCATATGTCCTTGAAAGGATGAGGGGTGGCTGAATGCCTTACCACACTGGTTACATTCATAGGGTTTTTCTCCACCATGCGTCCTTTCATGCCTTCGAAATGACTGGGGATAAATGAAGGCTTTTCCACATTGCTTGCATTCATAGGGCTTCTCTCCAGTGTGAATCCTTTCATGGCTTTGAAAGGATTGGAGATAAATGAAGGCTTTCCCACACTGTTTACATTCATAGGGCTTCTCCCCCGTGTGTGTTATCATGTGCCTCCGAAAAGCCGAGGAATAACTGAAGGCTTCCCCACATTCCTTACATTTATGTGGTGTCTCCCCAGTGTGTGATATCATGTGTCTTCGAAAAGTTGAGGAATAACTGAAGGCTTTCCCACATTCCATACATTTATAGGGCTTCTCTCCAGTGTGTGTTATCCTGTGTCTTCGAAAAGTTGAGGAATAACTGAAAGCTTTCCCACATTCCTTACATTTATATGGCTTCTCTCCAGTATGCGTTCTCACATGACTAGTAAGACTTGAAAAATCAATGAAGGCTTTCCCACATTGCTGACATTCATAGCTTTTCTCCGCAGTATGAATCCTTATATGCCGGTTGAGGGAAGAAGTACGAGGAAAAGTTTTTCCACATAATTTACACACATAGGGTCTCTCTCCACTGTGGGTCCTCACATGCGTCCTTAGGTGTGAACGACAACTGTAGGCCTGCCCACATTCCTGACATTGATACGGTTTGTGTCCAGTGCAAACAGCGATGTGACTCTTGAGGAATGAATGATGCGTGAAGACTTTTCCATGTGTACTGCATTCATACCTTTTTACTCCATTAAGAGTTTTCTGGTACAGGTTAAGATTTGGAGTCTGACTGAAGCCTTCCCCACATTGATCATTACGTTCATGGAGTCTCTCCACCACGTGATTTCTGTTAAAAATGAGAAGTATGTTATCAGTGGTTTGATTAATAATGATTTATTAGTAAGTACAAGAATTATGTTTTCACCAATTTCAGTGGATGGATTTTCTCGACTTTTTTTTTTTAAATAAATTTATTTTATTTTATTTATTTATTTATTTATTTTTGGCTGCATTGGGTCTTCATTGCTGTGCGAGGGCTTTTCTCTAGTTGAGGTGAGCAGGGGCTACTCTTCGTTGCAGTGCGCAGGCTTCTCATTGCGGTGGCTTCTCTTGCTGCAGAGCACTGGCTTTAGGTGCACGGGCTTCAGTAGTTCTGGCACGCAGGCTCAGTAGTTGTGGCTCACAGGCTCTAGAGTGCAGGCTCAGTAGTTTTGGTGCACGGGCTTAGTTGCTCCACAGCATGTGGGATCTTCCCCAACCAGGGCTCAAACCCATGTCCCCTGCACTGGAAGGCAGATTCCCAACTGCTGTGCCACCAGGGAAGCCCTATCTGACTTCTTTTAAAGTGGAATGAACTCAATGCCACAGAAGGGGGTTCAACCACAACGATTACAAAAACAATGTTTCTTAAACATGGGCTCTTCTGTTGATTGTTTTCAGCTGTATCTATCACTCAACATCAATGTCACATTTAAGAAAAAAAATCATCATGAAAATCTCTATGAATAAACAAATTTGATCTAGGCTTACATGTGTTTTGTTTGTTTGCTTTTTAAACTTTATGACATACTAAGATTCTCTCCTGAAATACTGCTTTCTCTCCTGAGTGCAACTCACCTCAGATGTCTCCCTTGATGTATGTGCTGATCTTCAAGGCTGAGTTCTTCCCAAATTTTTCCTAAGATGGAGGCCAAGGAATCATTTCCAGTGAACTTTGATATTTTATGCTCCTTGGATATTTTATTCCCATAAATATCCTGCTGAGAAACTGACCCATTGGCCTTAAATTGAGTCTCATCCTCTGAAAGCAAAAAGGTAACAAATCTTACAAGAAAGGAGGTACCTGTTAGCCAAAAAGGACACGGAGGAGTTTAGCTATGTCAAGGCTTCATCAATAACAAGTATAAGGGGTCAAAATGGTAAGCACTTTAACAAACACAGTAAAATTCTCATATGGTTCAAAAACAGACCTCACTGGGCCCTCTAAGGCCCCATGAAATCTATATCCACCAATGATGCTAAGGGAGCTTTCTTTACAGAAAGAAAAACTCAGTTTAATACACAGATTCTCAGTCTCATGGGGAGAAACTATTAGATTCTAAGTCTATGATGGTTATGACCATGTCTGTCTTATTAGTTAACGTATTCCCTTTCCACAGTCCAATTCTTGGAACAGTGATGTGCCAGAAATGCTTGTCTCTAAATGACTAAGTGAAGGAATGATGTCATTCTTACCCACTGAGGCCAGGTTTCTGAAGTTTTCCAGCATCACATCTCTGTAGAGCTCCCTCTGAGCAGAATCCAGCAAAGCCCACTCCTCCAGAGTGAAGTCCACGGCCACATCCTCAAAGACCACCGAGTTCTGAAACACCCAAGATATGTGCAGGAGCATGGGTGAGACTCACAGCATTGAACAACTGGACTCAAGTCAAAGGAAGTTCAAATAAGATTCCATGGTCATCTACCATCTACTCTGTGATCCAGTCATCATCACACCTCCTACTTTATGTCCACAATCATAGATTATCCTCATAGATTTAACAGCACTAACACACTGAACTTATCTCTACACTTCTACTGTGACCATTCAAGTCTTATTCTTCTCCAACCAAAGGGTTTAGACCACATTGGAGAAATGAAAACAATGCTATACAAATGAAATAATATTTGCATTTTAAGACCCATCAATCCCTTGTGACACAAGTGACTTTAGGTCCTTCCTACTGTACATCCATAAGCACATGAAGCCCAAGGTCAGCCTGGATGAGGTTTAAGGAATACAAACACAATGAAGGACTGGGAACTTTTCCTTCTCTTTCCACCACAAAATATGAAAGGCCCATGGGCCTGTGGGAACCCAACTTGCTGCAAGGGCCTGCTAGCCATATTGTCTTTTTTCTTTTTTTTAACATCTTTATTGGAGTATAATCGCTTTACAGTGGTGTGTTAGTTTCTGCTGTATAACAAAGTGAATCGGCTATATGTATACATATATCCCCATATCTCCTCCCTCTTGCGTCTCCCTCCCACCCTCCCTAAACCACCCCTCTAGGTGGTCACAAAACACCGAGCTGATCTCCCTGTGCTATATGGTTGCTTCCCACTAGCTAGCTATTTTACATTTAGTAGTGTATATATGTCCATGCTACTCTCTCACTTCGTCCCAGCTTACCACTTCCCCCTCCCCGTGTACTCAAGTCTATTCTCTACATCTGCATCTTTATTTCTGTCCTGCTCTTAGGTTCTTCAGAACCTTTTTTTTTTAGTTTCCATATGTGTGTGTGTGTGTGTGTGTGTGTGTGTGTGGCAGCATATGGTATTTGTTTTTCTCTTTCTGACTTACTTCACTCTGTATGACAGACTCTAGATCCATCCAAGCCATACTGTCTTAACTCCAGGCCTTCAGGACAGTCCAACTGGCTGAATGAAATATTTCTTTTGAAGAAGTATTAATTTTAACATTTTTGTGTAATAGTTATCACCAGCTCAGTTTCTATTCTTTTCCTCTGTGTATTTTCATGAAAATAGGAAGTCAGAACTGCATATGTTCCCTACCCTCCTGAGCCAGTGCTGCTGCCCACCAGTTCTGAGTTCACACACACACACGTTACATGATGCCAAAACAGCTCTTCTACCAGACCCATAAAAGAGTACTCTTGCTGATCTTGAGGATAAGATTAAGAGCCCTACTTTGCAAAGGACTTTAACATCAAAAACATCTGATAGTGGGCTTCCCTAGTGGTGCACTGGTTGAGAATCCGCCTGCCAATGCAAGGGACACAGGTTCAAGCCCTGGTCTGGGAAGATCCCACGTGCCGTGGAGCAACTAAACCCGTAAGCCACAACTACTGAGCCTGCGTGCCTAGAGCCCACAAGCCACAACTACTGAGGCCCACGTGCCTAGAGCCCATGCTCCACAACAAAAGAAGCCACCACAATGAGAAGCCCGCGCACCCCAATGAAGAGTAGCCCCCGGTCGCCACAACTAGAGAAAAGCCCACGTGCAGCAACGAAGACCAAATGCAGACAAAAAGAAATTAATTAATTAATTTTAAAAAGAAAACATCTGACAGCAGATTTAGCCTTGAGTATAAAATACACAGAGGATTCAGCAGTGCTTTCCTACAAAGGAAACACTCCCTTGCCTCAAATTCCAGGAGACAGTGATTCCACACAAACCATCCTAGAGGCTGCACTCTCAATTTCTCTCACGTCCATGTCCCTCCCCTGGTGGGCACATGAGCGTGTCAGGCCAACCCCCTAAGCACAGGGACCACTGAGCTGCATGCCTCCCTTAAGCCATGGTTTTTTAAAAAGTTCATCAACCCACTCACATCCATGAGCGTGGGAGAGAAAACACTCTCATATAATAATCCTGATGCCAGTATTTAGTACATATGCAACGGAGTAGCAGCATAACAGGAATATCTCTACTATACAGGGAACAACAGGAGCTTCTGGAGCTTCTGGAGGTGAGATGCTCTCTGTACAGTTATCTGTAGTGTTTCCTCTACTTAGTGTGCAGGGAAGGAGTTGACATTGCAAACCTTAACTTTATCCTTGGCAGTGACTGCTAGCAAGGTTGGCCTTGGCCAGTGTGTGGGAACTTTAATTTCTGAAGGTTTCACATCACCCTAATTATTGCTCCCTGTCTCTGACTGTGCAGACAACACTGTTAGTGCTGAGCACCTGCTTTTCACCTGGGAGTCTGGGCTTTGGGTCCTTGTTGCGCAGAGGATGCTCACATGATCAGCTGTGAGCTGATAAAACCCCCCCGGTGAACGGAGTCCCCAATGAGCCTCCGGTAGATGGTATTTCACATGCTGTCACAGCTCATCGCTGGGGCTATCAGGTGTGTTATGTGCGACTCCACTGGGAAAGGACTCTTAAAAGCCTGCACCTGGTTTCCTTCAGATTTCTCCTCATGTGCCTTTTCCCTTTGCTGATTCTGCTGTGCTCTTTGGTTGTAACAAATCATAGTCATGACTCCAACAATATGCTGTCATGTGAGTCCTACCTGCAGGACCTAGGGGTGGTTTTGGGGACACCAGACACATTAGAACTGGGATTTGCTAGAGCAATCCTGATTCACTAAAATATGGCAAAAGCACTGTCTGGGAAGTGGGAGAGTGAAGGGGGAGGGAATGGCAAACCTTTGCAGCAGGGTAGCTATGGAGTCATCCAGGGTATGAAAGGGCAGCTGAGCTGTCTGGTGTGAGGCTAAAAGTTGATTGAGGTATGGGAATTCCCTGGCTGTCCAGTGGTTAGGACTCGGTGCTTTCACTGCTGGGGCCTGGGTTCCATCCCTGGTCGGGGAACTAAGATCCCACAAGCTATGCTGGGGCAAAAAAAATAAAAAGTTGACTGAGGTAAAAATAAGCAATCCAACTCCAGGAGGTCTGGCTCACTGGATATACCAGCTGCCTGTGGCCATGGAGGCCAAGTGAGAAGAAAATCAAAGTTCAGCACAGGTGAGACCTGTGATTTTTGCTCTCTCTTCCAGGCAGGAGAAAGGGCTGGCAAGTTCCCAAAAGTGAGCTTTGGATAGGCAAAAAATGTTAAAAGATTGTACTGGATCAGGAGAAAAGTTAAATCAGTTCCTAGAGCTGAAACAAAATTTTAGACAAACCAAAGGGGAGGGGACAGCCAGCCTTTCTTCAGCCTAGCTGCTGGGCCTCCTGGCCCACCCACATGTACCAGCCAGTATCTTCCCAGCTGTAACGCTATCCCTGTAAACGCTAAATACGTTTACAGAGAAAGGCTGAAATCCTAACCCCTGATACCTATAAATGTGACCTCACTTGGAAACAGGGTCTTTGCAAATGTAATCAAACTAAGATGAGGTCATTAGGATGGGCCCTAATCCAATGACTGGTGTCCATAGGAGACGGGGAAAATGCCATGTGAAGACAGAGCCACACAGAGAAGGCAGCAGAGGAAGAAGATGGACGCAGAGACTGGAATCATGCTGCCACAAGCAATGGAACGCCTGGGGATACAGAAGCTATAAGAGACAGGAAATGACCCCAGGACCCTAGAGAATTCTGAGGGAGCATGATCCTGCCAACACCTTCATTTCGGACTTCAGCCTCCAGAAATGTGAGAGAACACCCACATTGTGGTAATTTGTTATGGCAGCCCTCGGAAATGAACACAAGGTTTGACTGCAATGAGGGAAAAAAAGGGGGGGGGGATTTTTTTTTTTTCTTTACTTAAAATGGTTTTGTTTTGTGGCTACCGCACCTGCTTGGATGGTAAAAATGGATACAAATGGTATCTGCCTGCAATTTTATAAATGCTAGAGAGATCATCCCCATCAGTGCTAAGAAAAATGAGACACAGCTTCCTTGCTGTTTCCAACTGGTGCCTGGATTGGAATTGGAACCCTAAGTATCAGAAACAAGATTAGGTCTCCATAAATGATTTTTTTACTATGACTTTTACCCACTGGAGGTTCAAAAAGAGGTAAACAGGGACTTCCCTGGTGGTGCAGTGGTTAAGAATCTGCCTGCCAATGCAGGGGATACAGGTTCAAGCCCTGATCCAGGAAGATCCCACATGCCATGGAGCAACTAAGCCCATGTGCCACAACTACCGAGCCTGCACTCTAGAGCCCATGAGCCACAACTACTGAGCCCACACACCTAGAGCCTGTGCTCTGCTACAAGAGAAGCCACCACAATGAGAAGCCCGTGCACCACAATGAAGAGTAGCCCCCGCTCACTGCAACTAGAGAAAGCCCGCGTGAAGCGACAAATACCCAACACAGTCAAAATTAATAAATAAATTAATTAATTATTTTTAAAAAGAGGTAAACAAAATGAAAAGACAGGCAATCTTTAAGTAAAGATATACTTTTGGAACTTTACGTAGAAGTTTTCAGTTTGCTAAAAAGCTCTTTTGAAAACCTATTTCAGATGACCTTCAGAGGCTGATTGCCCAGCAGGGGCTTAGCTGGGACTCTAAGGCAGACAGGACAAGAAGGGCTTAGGACAGTCTCAATGCAGGGAGAAAGGTACCCAATCCTGTTGACTTTGCTTTATTCTTGCAGTCAGAAATCACAGCCATGCGCAGACTATACACCGAAGCCTGGGAGGCCTCCTAGTGAATCTCTGAACCTACGGTGGTCATGGGGACTGCTACAGACTGAAGGTTTGTGTCCCCCCAAAATTCACGTCAAAACCTAATCCCCAATGTGATGGTGTTTGGAGGTGGGCCTTTTGGAGGAGGCCAGGAATGGGATTTGTCCTTATAAAAAGGACCCCAGAGAGCTCCCTGGACCCTTCTGCTGTGTGAGGACACAGTGAGAAGACGGCCACCTACAAACCAGGAAGCAGACTCTCACCAGACACTGAATCTTCT